GAGAGAGGGAGAGAGGGAGAGAGAGAGAGAGGGAGAGAGCTGAAGAGAGATTGAGAGAAAGGGAGAGAGGCACTGAGAGATAGATGGATGCATGCAAAAGAAAAAGTTAAATTTAGAACAGCATGGGGAATGCGGAATTTTTTGGAACATGGAACTCCTGAACGCGCTTGACCACCTCCTGGAGTTTTCTCGATATTCCCCAGATCAGGATCTTGACTTGCGCAGCCTTGAAAATTGTCCCGAGCTCCGGGTATTCGGTCCAAGGATCCAGGCCAGCATTTGCAGGGGTCAAAGATATCACAGAGAAGGATTTCCTTCAGGGTGAAAATCATGATACATGCACCAACGAACACAGCTAAAAGCCAACTACTAGAAGAAAACCAAAAAGCGTTCTTCAAAAAGCCCAGGTACCCAGTCCGGCTCTTGTATTCTTTCTTGATCCAAAGTGTCAACATCTTCAGATCTGCTCGCTTTGTATCCCAGCCAATCAGTCCCCGCATGACCATCAGTTTGATGGCGGCAGCAACAGCATCTCTTCCCACTCCAAGCAGGACTACATGCATCCAATCGAAAAACGTATTCTCAAGTCTCCAGCCTGGCATCGCCGTCCAAGGCGACAGGTCACTCGCTGAAGTTGTGTTCAAATACGTTTCGTGACTGATAGTCGTGAGAAGAAAAGGAGCATTCGCAGAAAAGTTCTTGTAGTTCATCCCACGGACCATATTCTTTGATGGTTTGATGGCAACGCATTGGTCGCAAAGCAGATTGCAGTTGTAGTGCCGTGTAAAGAAATGACACTCCCGTCTCGCTTTCTGGTCCCCGCGAAATCCATAGAAGCACGCCCTGCAGAATTACATGCACTTCACAACGGACAGCACAGACCTGCAACTCAGACCGGCTACCCAAAATCTTACATAGCTGCAGCTCAAGAATCTTCCATCCGCCGGCCAGGGGCAGCCCGCGGCTCTTTCCCCGACTCGATTTTTCAAGAAGCTCTTCCCCATAATACCCACGATCTGGAAAGCGACCCTCTTGAAGGATTTTGAAAGACCAGCTCATGAGCTTCGCGATTTCAGTGTGCACGTGGTCCTTCACCTGGGAAATGGCTTAAGTCACTTATAAGAAGAACCCAGAGGACCGCCGATTGAAAAAAATCAAGCGGGATTGAAAATTCTCAGCGTTTTGATTGTGTCGATCAAATTCAATAGAAAACGATCTTTTTCAATAGAAATTTAAATCCTCAAAATCAATAGAACTGCGACATAAAAATCAATAGAAACCTCCACATCAGAATCAATAGAAAATCTCCATAAAATCAATAGAAATTTTCCATAAAATCAATAGAAATTTTCCATAAAATCAATAGAAATTTTCCATAAAATCAATAGAAATGTTATCTCAAATCAAACGAGAAACACTTCTGACATCAATAGATTTCAGCTCTATCTCTGCCTCCACCACTATATATAATACCTCTACCTCGACCTCAACCTGTACCTTTATCCGTATCTCTGCCTGTATATCTCTACCTTTACATCTTTACTTCTTTATCTCTCTATCGCTGTATATCTCTCTATCCCTCTACCGCTCTATCGCTCGATCTACCGCTCTACCGCTCGGTCGCTCTATCTCTCTATCTCTTATATCTCCCTGTCTCTCTATCTCTCCATCTCTACCTGTATTTTTATTTCTATATATCTATCTCTTTCTTTTTTCTCTTTCTCTATCTCTCACTTTCTCTTGCCCACCCTTTCCCAGAAGGCTTCCAGCCTAACACTTCTTTTTCACAGCAGCGGCAGGGAATCTTGGGTGAAGCTTCTTTTGAGCTCTCCTTCGAAACTTGGCCTTGTAAAGGCCTCGGAGCCTAACTTTCAAAAACGGTTCCTGGCTACTTGGACTTGGACGTGGAATTGGACTCAGGCATTCCAGCCTAACACTTCTTTTCCACAGCTGCGGCAGGGAATCTTGGGTGAAGATTCTCTTGAGCTCTTCCTCAAAACTTGGCCCTGGAGGCTTGGAGCTTACCTTTCAAAAAAAAGCTCCGGGCTACTTGGGCTTGGCCTTGGTATTGGACACTGGCAGCCCGCATGGCTGCAAGCCGTCCCTGACTCTCGGGTTTTGCTTGATGATCATTTTTTGAATCGGGGACAAAAAATCCCAAACGAGAAGGTGACCCTGCGGAGCTTCCGCTTCAGCTTCCTGTGAGGGGTCGTGGTAAAAGTCGGGCTCCTCTGGCCACTCCTTCATGGCCTGCTCAAAGTCACTCTGGGTGATCGGAGGGTCATACATGCCCAAGACCATCGTTTCCTGGCTCAGGCTCACGTTGTCCGGGCTCTGCTTTGGCCCCTTGGCCCTGGTCTCGGCAGCTTGGCAAGCTTGCCAAACGGCTTCCAGACCTGCTTCCGAGCTGTCTTCTTCCTGCAGATCTGTTTCGGCGTAAGGGTTTAAAAGCTGGTTATGAGGGTATAGGGGTTGACATCTATCTATCTATATATCTATATGTATATACATATATACAAAATCTATATATCGCACTGAAAGAACCCCGCCTCGAGAGCAAAGCAGGTGGCAACTGCAGGCCTCTTGGCTGTCGTCTCTGCCGGAGTCTCCAAGGTGGCGGCTGGCCTCTTGACTGTCGTCTCTGCCGAAGTCTCCAAGGTGGCGGCTGGCCTCTTGACTGTCGCCTTTGCAGAAGTCTCCAAGGTGGCGGCTGGCCTCTCGGCTGTCGTCTCTGCAGGAGTCTCCAAGGTGGCGGTTTGGCTCTTGGGAGCTTGGCCACTGGAGGTCGTGGAAGTCGCAGGTCTTTTCTTGACGACCTTGACCTTGACGACGGCCTCCTTGTCTGCGATCTTGGCAGCTGGCTTCTTCGAGACCGGGGCCTGTCGAGGCACAGCCAAAACTTCAAAAAACAGACTTAAGCTCGACAAGCTCACAGGCAAGTATCTGGCCTGCCGTGCGGCCGGCTTCTTCTGGCTTCCTACTTTTGCCATCTGAAGAGCCTATAACCTGCAGCTATAGACGGCGACACATTTTTGCAAGCGTCCGGATTATACCACTTGGGAATGTACGTATAGGGCCGTCCGGCCCTTAGCAGATGGCGCAAGCGACTTGTTTTCCATGGGCCGTTTGCAGTCGGCCTGGACCTGGACCGTTTGAGCAGCTTATGGCTCATGGGCCGCTTGCAGTTGGCGTGGACCTGGACCGCTTGCAGCTTGGCTGCTTGGGTCAGCTTGGCTCACCCAGCACTAGCAAGCCCTTTAAAAGCAGATGCCAAAACGTCCTGTACTTGAACAGGATGGTTTCCGGCACCTTGTGAGCTGCAGTGCCTGAAAGGCAAGCGTTGGCGATGTGAGACATCAAGCCCATAAAGGATTCGGAACCATACGTCCAAAAAAACCTGGGGGCCAAGTGCTGCGAAACTTCTGGCAAGTGTGCCGTCATGTGAAACTTGGAAACTTGGCTATATCGACACTGCTGCGCATCAAAAGCCAGCTTGGCAAGATGGCCGTAGTGCTTGGTCAAGCACTGGACTTGGTCGGCGAATTTTCGCCTGACGTCCTGGGGCCACTTGAAGTCTTGCCTGTCCAGAAAGTCGTAGATGTCCCGCAGCGACTCAAGGACACGAAGTCGGTGCAGGCTTCGGCGATCATCTTGGGAGCCTGAAATTGCTGTAGAACTTTAAACAAGAATAAGGTCGTGTTCACATTTATAGATATAATGCAGCTTAGACACTGTACCTCCTGGCGAGCTCCACAGCAACAGGCATGAAATGCCTGATTCGCCTGCCCTTCTGGTGCTTGAGGCAAGGGTACTCATTGGCACTGCTTGCAATGTCAGACTTCCATTTCAGGTTCGGCAACCTGGTGCCTGAAGGAATGCCTAGCTCCTGGTAGATTTCCTGGATTTCGGCATTCAGGCAACTCATGTTGGTGTCCCTGGAACCTGGCTTGGAGTCTTCGATGATCTCGCAAAGCAGATTCCCCACCACATGGCAGGACACACCGAGGTCCAGGACGTGGAGGACGTCAAGCTTCAAAGCCTGAGCATTGACGCCTTGGACCTGGAAAAGCAGGTGCTCCAGCCTGGCTTCCAGCTGCCTTGGCCTGAGTGTTGTCCTTCTCCAGCCTGCTTCCTGGCGAAAGTCGTTCCAGCAGTTCTCGCCCTCTTGGGTGCAAGCGCACCAAAGGCAAGGGTTGGCTTGGTTCGGCCTGGGGAACTTGAATTCCTGGTAGAAGAACTCCATGTCCCCTGTGATGCAGTAGATCACTCCTGGCCTGAACCGCCTGGAGGTCGTTGGGCCCCTTCCTGAGGCCATGGCTTGGAGGGACTCGCAGAGCTTGGTCCAAAGATCTTCCATGAGCTTGGGCGTGATGCACGACTTGGGAATGCAGGCCAGCAACAATTGGCTGCTTGCCTGGACTGCGAAAGCAAAAATTAGAGACACCAAGACCTAAATGGTTATTTTGCGGTCGTACTGCCGAAAGAATACTAGACAAGCCAAGCGTCAATCGAACGTCGTGACGTTATCGCTCTCATGGATATCACAAGCAGACTGTCCACCTTGGAGTGGGGAGCTGCGTCGCCGTGCAAAGCGAAAGTGACCAAGGCTTGGGTGTCCTGGAAAACTTGGTCAAAGTAGTCCTGGCTTTGCGACACCCTGGAGTTAGCGCCTTTTTGGCTGTCCCAAAACTTGGCAATGTCCTGGATACCCAGGATGTCATCGTCCATGCCATCCAGGCTTAGCATCCAGTTGTGCGGAAGCATGACTGGAAGCTTGCAGTCTACTTGGATTTTTTGGCCTGTGGCGCTTTTCCCCCATGCCTTGGTCTGCACGACCGTTGGGTCTGGAGCAGCCATGTCCTTGAAGACCCTGGAAAGCAGCTGGTGGTGCGTGTGGTTCGGGTTAACACCAGGCGAACCCAAGCTGGCAAGTCCCACAAGGTCGGCCTGGGAGCAGCCTGACTTGACAGCTGCCTGGGACAGCTCCTGGACGACCTTGGCGCTCAGGTCTCCCAAACACCACAGCCTTAAAAGGGCCACCGCAAGTGGAGATTCTGGCTTTATCTCGCGACAGGAGGAAGAGGAAGCTTGGTCCTCCGTCTTCCTTTTCCTCCCTTACATGGCTTCGCCTGGACATCTAAACCTAAACCTGGCTTGGTCCTCGAAGCTTCAAAGCGGGGAATTTGCAACTTGAACACGAGAACAAAGGCAGTTTGCAGTAGTCCCTGGCAGCAAAACGCTTCTTTTTGGCGCTTGAAACTCCAGCTTTAGGTTTCAGTAGGCTCTCTCCCTTGAACTGCCTTTGCTCTTGGAGCCTAAGAGGCTGGAGGGTTCAAAACATCCATACTGCGTGGCCTGGACTTAAGGCCGTTCACAGCTTGGAAAACCCTGCCTGCCTGGACTTCATGAAAACTATAAGCTAAAATCTCATCAGGAATAGCTGCCGGGTCAAGACTCAAGACTTCTAGCTTTTGCTGGACTCTGCAGGGCCGTGGTACCAAAGACTGTTGCGTGTTACACGTTGCTTGGGCTTGGGCCTCTATGCAGCCATCCTGAAAAAAAAACTGCTCAGGCGTCCTTAAGGGCCTTAGTGAGTTCCACCTTAAGCTTCTTGGAAGCTTGGAGGGTGGTCACCGCGTCAAGCAAAACGGGCTTCATGTCCTCCATCTTGCAAGCCTTCTTGCCAGCCAGGGGCGTGCGGATCCGCTCC